TAGGAGGCTATAGCCTGGTACCACAGGGGGGAAGAACTGAGGCCGTGACTGCCCTTGAATCTGCGGAATACCATAGTCCAGGTTTTCATAGCGGGAGTCTCCGGGGGTTTTAATAGCCGTCGTACTGCCTGCAAGACCCACTGAATTTGGTGGAAGGCATGGTGGTAGAACATGGGATGGGACCTCTGGCTGGATCCTCTCAACGCAGTTGTGGTCCTGGATACTTCTCTTAACACTCAGATCGATGACATCAGACTGTATAGTCGGCCTCTGGATGTGTCCACATGATTCTGACTCCGTTTCCGCTGTCCTAGACGCTGGTGAAAAGGCCAGTCGTAGACTGTCCTCAGACATTTTGGCAAATATGGCGGCCATTGCGGAATGCATTACACCAGCACCGAGAAGGTAATAGCGGACTGTACAGCCGTGAAGAATGGGCTCGTCGTGCTGGTCGGCCAACTGATTATGCGTTGGTCTCTGTTTATCGTTTGCGGCCATAGTAATGACACGAAGCGTCTTCTCCAGCTGTTCTCGTTTATGCCGCTTCTTCCTTCTCCTTCTGCGTTTAAATGATTTTATCGATCTGTAGCACAGCTTGCAGAGCAAGAAGTTGGCAATGCTATCCAACCCGCGTAGCATACAGTGAGAGGGAATAGGAAATTATGGCAGTATGTGGAATAGGTATTTTTGTTTCCAGGGCTGCCCAAAAAATCTAAATTAAAAAAGAGAGTAAAACGAGACTTCACCACAACTTTTCGTGTGATGATTTTGTCTCATACACATAATTTATGTCGGTATTGCCCACCGAGACGAGTACTGCCTACTGGATATAAATTTCTAGCTAACTGGGCCCTTGATAGGAAATTTTCTGAAAGAATTGTTGGGAATTGCTTTATATACCCCTTCAACTTAAGGAAATGTTGGTCACCTTCAACTTCAGTACGTATGCACTCTGAGGACGCTTCCGCACAGTTCTAATCCAGGTGGTTGCTGCTGCCGGATTGTCATGTGAATA